GTTTATAATGTTGTGTCAATTTCTGGTGTACAGTATCATGTTTCAGTCACACATATACATACATATATTTGTTTTCATATTCTTTTTCATTACAGGGTACTGTAAGATATTAAATATTGTTCTCTGTGCTATACAGTGTAAACTAGTTTATTTTATATATAGTAGTTAGTATCTGCAAATCTTGAACTCCCAATTTATCCCTTCCCACGCCCCCCCCCAAAACCCAAAAACAAACTTTGGATCAAATACAACTTGAAGGATCAAGTAGCTGCCTGTTGTTGCTTTTGTGGTTTTTTGTTTGTCTAGGTTTTTTGAGGGGGGCGATAGGTAATTAGGTTTGTTTATTTCTAGAGGAGGTACTAGGGATGGAACTCAGGACCTTGCGCATGCTGAGCATGCTCTCTACCACTTGAGCGTACTCTCCTCCCTTCGTTGCTTTCGTGTGGTGTGTCAACCAAATGACTTCAGAGTGCAAACTTCAGACATTTTTCTGTACATTTATACTTCCAAAATAACAGATGATGGCTTGTCATGTCCCCTGACCTGTCATCATACCCCCTGGCAATATCTGCTCCCCAGTGTGAGAAGTAAGGACACAGAACAGTATCCAAAGTCCCTGCTCTCCCCTTTCATACCTCATTCTCTGCTTCCCCCTGCGCTTTCTGGCTCCCGATGTGAGATTTTCATCACCGCAGTAGAGGTCATGGAGGGAACGGGCTAAGACCATGTTGGCAGAGCCGGGCTGTCTGGGTGAGAATCTGAGGCGTGCTGCTCTCATGGCCTCGAACAAACTACTTCACACCTCTGAGCCTCGGCTTCTCTACCTATAAGATGAGGGTACTAATTACACACCTCACGAGGTTACCGTGAGGATCAAATGTCAACACGTACGAAGTGCTCAGAAGAGCGCCTTCTTAAAAAGACTAAGTGAGGGTCAGTTATTAATTGCCCTGGTGATCTCAGTGGCATTTCTGCTCCAAAGCATCGTCCCTGGCTGTGACCTCTTCTGGGATTCCTGGGTGGCACTGGACCACAGAGGAAGTCTTCTCCCACCCTGTCTACCAGGGGACCAGTGTCCTGTGTTTCCCTGTCACTCTGAATTGTAACTGTCAGTGCACTCCTTGTCTCCCGAGCAGAGTAAGGACAACACAACATCAAGCTGAGTCTTGTTAACCCTTACCTTTCCAGGGTGTGGAGCCTGCATGTTCCACAAACTTATGAAATAACTGTTGAGTTAATGCATCTTAGAAACAGCAAAGAAAGCCACAGAGGGAAATGGGATTCCTTTTAGATGACCCTGGATGAAAGATGGTTTTCCAAGGTTACCCTTTTTCTGGGAGTTTGGGGGAATAAGCAATAGGACAGACTGATAGGTCTTTTGGAAGATTTTTTCTTCCCTGAGTTACAGGCCTTGGCCACACCGAACACTCACATCTCTCCAGTGTCCTTGGGAGGACGGCCACACTTGCCTCTTTCTGTGACCTTGGTTGTCCTTCCTGGGACTGGGGGACCCTTTCTTCCTCACCCTGCCTGCCTCGGGACAGTGCCAGGTTCCCCAAGGTCTGAGGGCTCCTTCTGATGGAGAGGTCATTGGCTTCTGATTTCTTTGAGTTGTGGAGGTGCCGTCAGTCTTTGGACCTCCAAATAGGAAGGAAGGGGCCTCTGGGAGCCAAATAAATTAGATTATAGCCCACCTGGGATTACAGGCAGTGTGCAAACTGGCTCAGGCACCTCCTAAGACGCTCGACTCAGAGGCAGGATTTGCGGCACTGCCGGGCCAGGCTGACCTCTGCTCTAACCAAAAATGTGGCGCAGTAACAGGCACCCCGCCCCCTGAGGCGCTGCCCTTCTCAAGCCCAGGTCTCCCAGGAGCAGGAATTTCTGAGCGGCTCGGCCTCGGCTGGAGGGCCCAGGAAGAGGAAGCTTGGTGCTTCCGCTGAGAGGAGACAGGCCCATGTGCTGGGCCCCCCAGGATCCGGAGATCTGCTCCGAGGTTCTCACACACAAAGGAGGCTTGAAGGGCGATGCCATGCCTGAAAGTTCTTTCCATTTCTTAAAAATCGAGGGGCGTCAGCATTTGTTCTTACGACCAGCTTATTTCTTGGAAAGGCGGCCAATGATCAGCCTGGGAGTTGGATTACAACCGAAGCTTTGGTGGCCCTGTTTTATGCTGCTTTAATCAGGGAGCTGGTGTTTACGGTTTCTCTTTCTACCTGGGGAACCTGGGAGGAGGCAGAAATGCTGCTGGGGGTGTGATTGGTAGTTAAGGGTCCTTTTGTCGTCAGGCTCACTTTCTAGTCCAGCCGTCACCCTGCACCAATTTTCTTTGATGTAACTAGCCCTCAATTCCCGCATTTGCAAGGGAGGAGGGGCAGGGGGTCTGCTGTGGGGGCGGAGCACAGGGGGAGCGGGGAGCGGCTGCTGAGCATCCATTAGCCCAAGCCTGTCCTCAGGGCCCACTGCACAGAGCTCACCTCTCCTTCCTCCCTGGAAGTTCTCTGCTCTCCTGAGACGGGGGGGGGGATATGTGAGAGCATCTCCTCGGCTCACTCTTAGGAAAGGGTGACCAGCACTGGTTTTCTTCCTCCTCTCCAAAGAGATGGGAGCGAGGAGGCTGTCTTGGGAATGAGCGAGCAGCTTCTGCAAGTTTTATGAGATTACATGAAAGCTCTTGCTCTGAGTAGCAGAAGCCCTGAGTTACCGTGATACTTTGCTTTCAGCATCCTCTAGATCAGGTGTCCTGCGAGCCAGATGTCGAGGCTGAATAGGTGGGGAGTTTGCACAAAACAACGGACTACTGTCCCTGGGTAACACAACCCCTGTCACTGTGAAGAAGCTCTGGAAAGTTACACTTGATGTTTTAACAGGTCAGGCTTGATTGCCTGCCTGCTCGAATGCAGATGTGTCAGACTCTCCGCGAGTCTGTTCCTAAAAAATCAGGGCCCAGCCCAAAGCTAATACACAAGAAAAAATCAGAAAATAGCGGTGACCTGAGCTGAATTTGGGCTTTCTCCTCTGTCGGAACTTTGGGAATTTGAATACAAAAGGCGAACAAGAATGACTTTAAGAGTCTTTGCAATATTCCAAGTGGTTTCTGCACACATACCTCACTTAGGCCTAGTTCGGACAGTGCACTGAGTGAACTTTTGTACTTTCAATCTGCCTTGGAACTGGACTGAGTCAGGGGGCCTCAATTTATGTCCTAATTCTGCTGTGTAACTCCAAATCAGTCACTTACCCACTCTGAGCCGCGCAGAGTTACTGTGAGACCCCAATGGGATCATGTACGTGAAATCCCTTTGTAAATGGTAAATCACTACAAAAGCAAAATACTAGTACTGTTATTAATGTAATTAATGTACAGTAGATGCATGAAGGAAAGTAATTTTCACTAGGAACCAGAGGTAGAGAAACATCAAGTCCTCATATATTCTGGTCAACTTGAATCAGACTGTAGTTTAATACACTGGAGCATAATATAGAAATACCTTGCTATAATTTAAAGAACATACACGAGACACGACACCCTGTGATAACAGCATGAGCACAGGACTTAGAGATGCAAGTTAACACGACTGCAGGAAACCCAGCCAGGTCTCGAGAACTGGGAAGCCACTTAGTCTTCTGTTGCCCATTGCCCTCCCCGGGACCACATGGTCCACATCTCCTCTTCTTCCTGCTTATCTGCTCCATTCTCCCTTCAGTGGACAGGCTTTCACTGCCGGATTCTTGAGCTTTGGTCCCCATAACCGTTACTTACATGTCCCCATGGCATAAAATCTGGAGTCATCTCTACACTGCCCCTTCTCAGTGCTGCCTGAATGACGTCTCCCTGGGAGCGACACTGTGATCTGCTCAGCCCAGGTCAGATGGATATCAGTCCAAATGACCTTGGCTGTGGGTGAGAGGGTGTGTGGTCACCAGGGCTGTATCCTACAGGCTGTGGGCAGGGTGGTATCTTTAAGAGGATGAGTGGGGCTGGAAGGAAACAGAGGGCTTTTTCACAATGCCACTGGTGATGACACTGGCCTTCCCAGTCTTGGGAGCTCTGCTGCCTAAATCACAGTTCAGTGCTTCATCATTTTGCTTCCCCTTTCCCAATCAATCTGTAAGGTCCTCAGGTCAGGAGCTCATGGGTTATTCTCTTATGTAATCCGCACAACATCCAGAACCAGGCTGGACACACTGTAGGTACTCAGTGGGGACTTACTGGTTGATATAAACCGTCATCCTCTACATGCATACAGAATTTCACAGTACACATAAGACATTCTTCTGTATCAGTCCACTTGACCCCCACCATCATCCTGAATCATGATTACTCCCACTTTGCAAATGAGACACAAGCAAGGCACAAGGCTCGGGAGTGGCAGAGTCTGAATCTAAGTTTCGACGTGACGTACTCTAGGTGCCTCTACAATAACTAAATGGAGAAGTACAGGAAGCAGTTAGATCTAGAGAGAGGAAATACTTCATATTTGGATATCACCCACATATAGATTATATATGTGTAGAAACAATTGCAGTGGACGCGATGTCCCAGGATCTCTGTGCAGAGTGAGAATCAAAGAGAGCCCAGAACAGATGCCTGAGAAACCCCAGTGCTGAGCAGGGGAAGAGAATATATGGGAGACACAGAAGCAGCATCCTGGTGGGAGAGAAACCAGGGTGGGCCGTGTTTTACGGAAAGCATGGGAAGGAGCTTCTTACAAAGAGAGTGACTACCAGGGTCAAATGCTTCCAAGAGACCAAGTGAAGATAATAACTACAGGACGCCCTTGGCAACTGCAGCAGGAAGACACTCAGTGACTGACCAGCAGAGTCAGGGCAGTGGGAGGGGCGGGAGCCAAGCTTCAGTGGGACGGATGGGAAGGGAGTGGGGGTGAGAGGAGGAGGAACAGTGCCTTTAGTCAACGCCTTCATGAAGTGTGGCCATGAAAGGGGAGGGGGAGTCAGTACGACTGTGGGTAGGGTTTCAATGAATTTTTATTTTTTTAAAGATTGGGAGAACTATGAACTCACGTAAAGTCTGAAGGAGCTGGAAGAGGAGGAGTGATGTGAAGATGCCTGGGAGGTGGCATCATGGTGGAACAAGACCCCGAGGAGCCGAAGGGAAGAACGGTAGGTCCCGGTGGGATACGTCCCTCAGCTTAACAGAAAGGAAGGAAGAAAGGATGGACACGCAGGCTGGTAAGTGTGCTGGGCTGCTGCGGCCACAAGAGAATTTTTGCTTTTTTTCTCTGTATAAATGAGAAGCAAGGACATCTGTTAAGAGTAAGGGAGGTGGTAGCTCAGGTGAGCGGAGATGATTTGGCTTTGGGTTTTGATTCTGTTTTTTTCTTGACGTACAGTTGATTTGCAATGTTGTGTTAGTTACAGATGTGCAGCATATGATTCAATTTATATATATATATTTTTTTCATATTCTTTTGCATTATAAGTTATTCCAAGATAGTGAATATAGTTCCCTGTTCTATACAGTAGGACCTTGTTGTTTATTTAATTTGGCTTTGTTTTTGAAAGTGCCTTCTCTACCATCTCTTTGCCCAGTTTGTACTTGTCCTTTACTTCACTCTAACTCATCTATTCGTTCATTCATTTACTCATTCATTCAGCAGTTGGGAATCAATAGCTGTACAGCAGGCCGTGGGAAGTGTGCGAGAGGTGAAACACTTTGGGCAGTGGGGAGGCACAGGATGACTTATTGTGGCTGCAGAGGAACGTAAACTTGACTAAACTTGACTTGACTTGTGGTAGGACAGGCCCAGTGACCTTGGCCTCTGGAATGTGCACATTAACAAAGTGTGCCACATAGCTGCATCCTGGTTAATCTGATTACTAGGCATAAAGACATTTCACAATCCACGGGTTATAGTCTTCCTTCCTCCACCCCTGCAGAACCTAAATCTCCCTTCAAGCATGTGGGTTCCATTTGCGTTCTGGCACAACTCCCTGTGACCCCCCACCCCTAGAAGGGACGGCTGATTATCCCCCAGTGTCCCTATGCCTCTCCTCCGTGGTAAGGGAACTGAGCTAGGTCCGTGGCTACCCAGGTAAAGGATGCTTTTCCCCACCCTATTCAGGGTTAGGTAGGACCACTTGCCTAAGTTCTGATGAGCAGAATGTGCAGGAGGGGAGGTTGGTCACTTCCAGGTTGGCCCTGCAGGGAAGGGGCGTGCCCCATTTCTCCCAGCGTGCCCTCTGGCTGGCTGGAATGAGGACGAAGTGGCATTCAGCTGATTGGGATGGCGCACAGGAAGGAGACTGGGCCGATACCACAGGCAGAAGCTGGGCCTCCTTGTCAAGCTCTTCATTGACTAGGCAGGACTTTAGAAGCAGTGGACCCTCTATGTGGGGTCAGCAGGGGCCTTGGATGACTAAGGGTCTGTGAGGCGGTTCCATTTGGGACAGTGGTGGTTGCGAGTCAATTAAGCCACAAGTTGGGAGTTTCAGCAGGAAGAGTAGGAGGGTCGCTCGGTGTGTCTGCACACACAGTCTCACTGGGTCCTCACCCCAGCCTTATAGTGCATGTCATCATCTTTATTTTATAGACTGCAAACCTGAGAAGGGGAAACTGGGGTGACCAAACGTGCAGCTATTCAGCTGCCCGCTGGGGTACATGCTTCCATGGAGCGCTGGGCTCTGTTCCTTCCCTCCTACCAGGAGGCTTCTTGCTCCTGTGAGGGCCCCAGACTACAAGGAGCTCAGACACTTTCATCAGCCCTGTGGCTTAGCAGGAGCGAGAACGCTGTCTTCCCGTCCAGACCACAACATCCTGTGGCCATGTGTCCATCACGCACGGACGCCTTTGAGTCCCTCCCGGTACAGTGTTGATAGGGCCATGGGGAGGGGGGAAAAACAGAAATGCCCCCAGGGCAAGAACCCTTTACAGCGGAGCCAGGTGCTATAAATTTCTCCAAACGCATGGCCCTTCTCCACACATGCACATCTGGAATGCCGTATTACCCCTTCCCTCTCCAACCCCCTCTGCAGTGATGACTTCCTGGATGGAGCATTTTAATGACTTGCCATTATAAATAATACACTCTACCCTTTCTTGTAAAAAAAAAAAGCCAGAGGTTTCTGCAAAACCAGCAAATTACTCCAAATCATAATTTCATCGAAAACACTGGGAAAAAGAAAAAAAACCCTTCATACCCCGAGGTAGGAAAGGTTTGGGAGATTTATGTCTTTCCTTGAACACACAGATTTATAACAGTGGATAATGTACATTCATTTCATCCATATTTATACCTGAATTGATGCGGAGTCTGGTCTCCATTACTTTAATCTATGTAACTTGATCATCAGAAATCTGAACCATAATTTTAACACGTATTACAAAGAGTTTCTTTTGGGCTTAAAGGAAAATGACGGCAGAGAAGAAAAGCCATTAGGAGCCAGCTGCAGTCACTTACTCCTGGTCTGCGCTTCCTTCTGCAGTAGTGTGGGGCCCCCGCCCCATTTCCCACCCCGTACCTTCCGGGACACACATTCAGTCCCACACTGAGCCCCTGGCAGTAGCCGTACCACCACTGGAGCGGGGAGAGAGAAGCGTACGCAGGGCGGCCGGGGGGAAGTTCATGTAAATCAATCTCTGATGTCATGGCCAGCCCCGAGCTCACACGGGGGCAGTGGGTAATGGCCGGTAGTAGCCTCTAGTCACTTAGGAGAAGTGAAAAAATGCAGGGTCTGATCAAAGCTTCCCTCTGACAGACAGTGGAAATTAAACCCAGATACTCGTTCCCAAACACCATCACTGGCACTCAGCACATGGTTCCTGTCCAACTTCTGAACACCAAACACTGGCCTGGCTTAAATGCCAAGTGCCTGTCCTTGGACTAAAGCCACGTGGTGGATTTTTGAGAGATCTGGGCCCCAGGATTATGTTGGGCAGAAGATGAGGGAAACAAACCACTGGGGCAGCTGTGTGTCAGAGGCCTCTCTCAGGTCACCAGCGCTGGGATTTCCAAAAGTCAGGTGAGCACCACGGGGCAGATCTTTTGTCTGTTCTGTTCACCGGTGTGATGAGGGCTGGCACTTTGTAGTCCCGTGATAAATCTCTGTTGAATGAAGGGCCTTCATTACAAACATTCCCGAGCTACCAACTGCAGTGTGAGTAGATACTGTACAACAGCAAAGGATGAAACCGAGGAGATTTTATGAAATTAGGAATGCGGTTCGAAGGGAGCAATAAGCAATTCAATCTCGTACTTTCCATTCTCGTTTTTCCAAACTCTTCCATTTTTATTTTAATAGGACATCACAATAATGTTTCATAGTTTAGAAATACATGAAGATGTTAAAGCATGATGTCATTCAATGCTGTGACATAACTGTAACTCAGACCATGCCCATTTCACGGATGAGGACGTTGAGAAGCAGAGTTTCCATAATCTGCCTTATGCGAACGGCTCACAGCAGGAAGTGCTGAGCTTTGAGGATTGCTGCCTTTTGCTCCCTGGCCCTGTGTCCTTTCTCAGACTCTATGCCACAGCGGTGTGTTCCCAGCAAGGGTAAAGGGCAGAGTGAGAGAGGGGGGCCTTTTTGGGGTGGCTGGAGGCAGCTGATCTGGCCCCGCTTAGAACCCAGGAAGAGGCTGCCAACCCACAAATCACCAGGGCTGCTAAGTGCATTTCTCTAGAGCCTCCTGAGGATGGCTTTAGATTTGACTGTGCCTCAGGGGAGCGAATTCCAGCTGTCTGATCCTTGAAGTCAGATAGGACAATAGTTCGGCTTCATGTTTCACTGGTGAAAACGGATTTTTTTAAAAAGGAAACCCATCTCTAAAAAGGGGATTAATAAGAGCTTTTGGTTTATTAGTCTTGTGTATTTTTTTTTTACTGTAGGAATGCCTATAGATATGCACATATATGCATACATACAAACGCATGTATGTACATATATACATATAACATATGTAATTTATATATAACTATAATGTCTTTAAAATTATAACTGAAATAATTATTGCCTTATAGTAGGAGAAGGCTTCCAACTATCACCTGCCCTCTAGACAACTGGGCTTCTTCAGAGCCCCCAGGAAACGGGGGAGGGTGCTAAGTTCTTACATTTCACACTGCAGGCGCTGTTAGAGGCGTGCAGTGAAAGTTCATAACAGTCAGCACCACCATCTCCAGACTGTCTCTCCTGTTTATAGAAAAAGACACTGAAGGTCAGAGAAATTGTGTCTTGGCTGAGGTTCCACATAAGTGAGCAAATTTGATTGATTTGGGATCTGAGCCCAGGCGTGAGTAGCTTCACAGCTTATGCCCCACCCAATGTGTTCACTGTTAGCACATTTCTACCAGTTGCATCTGGAAAACAGGAGTCTGAATCCTGAACAATTTAAAATTTCTCTAGCTACTACTCTTGGATAGCTGCTGCTGCTTCTTTCTTCTTCTTCTTTCTTCTTCTTCTTCTTTCTCCTTCTCCTTCTTCCCTTTTTTAAAAATTGAAGTACAGTCAGTTACAGTGTGTCAATTTCTGATGTACAGCACAATGTCCCAGTCATGCATATACATACATATATTCATTTTCATATTTTTTCATTAAAGGTTATTATAAGATATTGAATATAGTTCCCTGTGCTATACAGAAGAAACTTGTTTTTTTAAAATCTATTTATATATATAGTGGCTAACATTTGCAAATCTCAAAGTCCCAAATTTATCCCTTCCCACTCCCTTTCCCCCGGTATTGTTTACTATGTCTGTGAGTCTGATTCTGTTTTGTAGATGAGTTCATAGTGTCCCGCTCCCCCCGCCTTTTTTTTAAGATTCCACGTATGAGTGATATATGGTATTTTCCTTTCTCTTTCTGGCTTACTTCACTTAGAATGACCATCTCTAGGTCCATCCATGATGCTGCAAATGACATTATTTTATTCTTTTTTATGGCTGAGTAATATTCCATTTTATAAATATACCACAGCTGCTTTATCTAGTCATCTGTTGATGGACATTTAGGGTGTTTCCATGTCTTGGCTATTGTATATAGTGCTGCTGTGAACACTGGGGTGCATGTATCTTTTTGAATTAAAGTTCTTTCCAGATATATGCCCAGGAGTGGGATTGCTGGATCACATGGTAAGTCTATTTTTAGTTTTTTTTGAGGAATCTCCATACTGTTTTCCATAACAGCTGCACCAAACTGCATTCCCACCAGCAGTGCAGTAGGGTTCCCCTTTCTCCACAGCCTCTCCAGCATTTATCGTTTGTGGACTTTTTGAATGATGGCCATTCTGCCTGGTGCAAGGTGATACCTCATTGTAGTTTTGATTTGCATTTCTCTGATAATTAGTGATATTGAGAATTTTTTCATGTGCCTATTGGCCATTTGTATGTATTCATTAGAAAACTGCTTGTTTAGGTCTTCTGCTCATTTTTGAATTGGGTTGTTTGTTTTTTTTAGTATTAAGTTGTATGGGCTGTTTATATATTCCAGAAATTAATAAGCCTTTGTCAGTTGCATCATTTGCAAGTATTTTCTCCCATGCTGTAGGTTGTCTTTTTGTTTTGCTTATGGTTTCCTTTACTGTGCAAAAGCTTGTAAGTTTAATTAGGTAACATTTATTTATTTTTGCTTTTATTTCTATTGCTTGGGTAGACTGCCCTGGGAGAACATTGCTAAGGTTTATGCCAGAGTGTTTTGCCTATGTTTTCTAGGAGGTTTAATATGTCTTGTCTTATATTTAAGTCGTTAAGCCATTTTGAGTTTATTTTTGTGTATGGTGTGAGAGAGTATTCTAACTTCATTGATTTACATGCTGCTGTCCAGCTTTCCCAACACTGCTTGCTGAAGAGACTGTCTGTTCTCCATTGTGTATTCTTGCCTCCTTTGTCAAAGATTAATTGACCATAGGTCTGTGGGTTTATCTGTGTGCTCTTTGTTCTGTTCCATTGATCCATATGTCTGTTTTAATGCTGATACCATGCTGTTTTGATTACTATAGCTCTGTAGTATTGTGGGAAGTCTGGGAGGGTTATTCCTCCAGCTTCATTCTTCTTCTTCAATATTGTTTTGGGAATTCTGGGTCTTTTGTGATTCCATATAAATTTTAGGATTATTTGTTCTACTTCTGTGAAAAGTGTCCCGGGTAATTTGATAGGGATCTCATTAAATTTGTAGATTGTCTTGGGCAGTATGGCCATTTTAACATTGATTCTTCCAATTCAAGAGCATGGGATATCTTTCCATTTCTTTAAGTCATCTTTAATTTCCTTAATCAATGTTTGTAGTTCCCCATGTATAAGTCTTTCATATCCTTAGTCAGATTTATTCCTAAATATTTTATTATTTTGGATGCAATTTTACAAGGGATTGTTTCTTTACTTTCTTTTCCTGCTAATTCATTGTTAGTGTAAAGAAATGCAACTGATTTTTGTATGTTAATCTTGTATCCTGCTACCTTGCCAAATTCTTTTATCAGCTCTAGTAGTTTTTGTGTGGAGCTTTTAGGATTTTCTATATATAGTATCATGTCGCTTGGATAGCTTCTTTAAAACGTTTTCTCTTTTCTTCCCAGCTAGATACGACCTTTTCCCCAAATTATGACTTTATTTCAAATGTATGGAAAACCTTTGCCCTCATTGTACTTGACCGGGGCACTAATCTTGTGAGACAGACACGGCAGGTACTGCTGTCACTCCATCACTCCTGAAGCGACGAACTGACCTTAGGAAAGACTGGCAAACCAGCCAAGATCAAACCGTGAGCCTGAGCTCACCACACACTAATTTTGTGACCCAAACTCCGGCCTAACACCCTGGTTCTTAGAACCACACTACTTTCTTCCACTCACTGCAGCTGAAAGGAGGACAGAATGTGTTACATTTCTCTTAATCATTTTTAGGTGACTCCCGTGGGCTGATGAACCTGCAAGGTTTTCTTGTGCATTTGCTGTGTGCCCAGAACTGAGCTGGGGAGTCAGATGACAGAGAGCTGTGGGTCACACAGCCCCTGCCCTCAAGGGATGAAGGACGGAGCTGGGAGGGCTAACGGAAAACACCTGTGTTATTTGGGTACAGGCTGGCCTAGTGCACTCTTAAGTGTCCGTGCAGCCAACCAGGTGTCCTAGGTCTCCACTTCTCCTGAGGCTTGGCTCTGAGTCATGTTCAGGCCAGAAACCCCTGCACACAGCTGCGCCCACCTCTGCCACACCTGCTGGCACCTGCAAAATGAGGACATCTGGTCCTGCCCTGAATCTCTTCGCTGACACCAGGCCTAGCATCTCTCTCCCCCGTCTTACCCCCACCGAACTTCCACTTGACTCTTCCATCCCACTCGCTGGATTTGGACTTGACCACAGTACTGTAAAATTTTCATTAAGTCATGATTGCAGGCCAGGCATTGTGCTAGATACTTCACACTTGCTCTCTCTCATCCCCACAACAGCTATGGGAGAGAGGAGAAATTTGGTCCCCATTTTGTTAACATGGAAATGGAGGCTGGAGGCAGGGTGATGGAAACTGCCTGAGATCACAGCAGGCAATCTGAGCCTGGAAGCAAACAGAGACATGTAGACAAGCCTCACCTACAGGTGATGACTAAGTGTTTTAATATTAAAAAAAATACTTCCATAAAGCAAATTTAAGTATGGCTCCCACATTAGAACATTCTTGGAGATGCATAGGTCCAGAAAAATATAAAAGAGGCAAATGAACACATATTTTTTAATGTTGCCAGAGGAGGATTTAAAAAACCATCTTTAGTAGCTCTCAAGTACTTCAACTAAAATACTTCCATTATGGGCATTTACTCTATGCCAAACTCTTTACAAGTAAAATCTCACAAACAACTTCCCATTGTATAGAAGGGCAGTTTATGCATATATACACATACATGTATGTTTTTATAGATGCAAATATGTATGTGTACATGTGCATTTAGTGTGTAAGTGAAATACACTGTCCAGGCTCAATCTTGAGACCATAGAAATGGGATTTGAACCCCGCTCTGGAGGCTGTCCTGCCTGCAGAGTGAGGGGGGCATGGCCCACTCATGTCCTAGCGAGTCACGACAAGGGGTGGATTTCAAACTAAATGCTCTGAACTCCCTGAAGGAAAAAAACACTGTTGGGATTCTAACCACTAAATCTTTGCTTCTTCACTTTGCTTGTGCATTGGAATCTGCAGGGAGTTTATAAAATTGTGACTTGGGGTTCCACTCCCAGAGATTCTGACATGATGGCTCTGAGGTGTGTCCCCCACCAGAGGACTTTTAAAAGCTCCCCAGATGATTTGAATGCACCCCAAAGTTGAGAACCGCAACTCAAGCCAGCACTCCATGTATCAGTTTCTCACTGCTGTTTTGACAAATAGGCACAAACTCAGTGGCTCAAAATCAGACACGTTTATTCCGTTCGTTTCTGTAGTTCAGAGTTCCAATGTGAGTCACACTGTGCTAAAATCCAGCTGTGGGCAGGGCTCTGTTCCATTCTGGAGGTTCTAGGGAGAATCTGTTTCTTGCCCTTTGAAGATTCTAGAGGCTGCTTACATTCCTTGCCCAGTGCCCCCCTGCCTCCATCTTCAAAGCCAGCAACATCAGGTCATGTCCTTACACAGCATTACTCTGACACCTGCCACCCTTTCCCCATTTAAAGAGCCTTGTGATTACACTGGCCCCACCCAGGTTATCCAGAATAATATCCCTATGTTAAAGTCTGATGATTAGCAACCTTAAGTCCATCTACCTAATTCTGCTTGGCCATGGAAGGTGACGTGGTCACACGTTCTGGGGATGAGAAGTTGGGTATCTTTAAGGGCCATAATTTTGCCTACTACAATTGACTAGCAGTTTAAAAACAACAACAGGGTTTCCCTTGTATCACAGCTGCTCACAGTGGGGCAAGCCAGTGAGCAGTGTGTTCTTTCACAGAACAGTCAAGTCAGAGCTGCCGGGTATAGGAAAACGTGTCCCTTCTGTTCCCCTCGCTCTCCTTTCCCACTGCTAAGAAGAGCAGTGAGAGCCTGTCATTCTCCGGGCTTCCCACAGCTGCTGTCACACCACTTGAAAACAGAGCCCAGGTGACCAGCGTTCCCAAGGCATCCTGGGATGAGGCAATATGTGAGTCTTACCATATGCTCCGGTGGGTTCCGGAAGACGCTGAGCAGGTGTACGGCATCCGGGCCAAGCATGTGGAGGGTGGCAGATTCACAGAGGGGAGGTACCGTTTTCAGTTTACTGGAGGGAGACGTAGGAATAACAAGAGCGCTGGGTGTATTTGCATCTCTCATGCTTCCCAGTCATCTAAGAAATCGAGGACGGTTCTGGTTTTCATTCTGAAAATCCAAGAAAATGCTTTGAACACTATGCTTGTGCTGATTTAAAAATTATTCTCCGAGTTTGCCAACATTCACAATCCATCAATTATCAGGATGCAGAAGCCTCTAAATATTTATAATGACAGCACTATCCTTATGTGAAGTTATTATGACAAGAAGGGGAGGAGAGCTGTTTAACCTCCGTCAAGGTGTGTGTGTCTGGTTATGTGTTTTCTGTACATCAATTTAGGATCCCGATAACGAATTTGCAATATACAGTCGTGTCTCGATGACAATTTCATACAGAGACCACTGCGCTTACATATACCTGAGCATCTTTAGTCCTAAATGCATTTATGTCTACATGTGCCTTTTAAAATTAAATGTATCATCTCTGACGGTGGGTGATGGGAAGAGAAGAAAAGCCAAAGTTAGATGCATCATATTCCACGAACAACCAAAGTTGAGTTAACTGACATTGGCTCCGAGGAATTCATCTTAATCAGTGTTATTGCTTCTGCTCCCGTAAAAATGAGTGATTGGGGCACATCAAATATGCTATCACGTTTTTACCCCAAACTAAGCAGTTTAGATCATTTATTTCCATAAAATGACACCGTGCATCATATGTCAAGCTGGCGCATTTTCTGTGTGACTGACTTTAGAGACCGAGTTGACAATCTAAGTTCTAATTATTCGCACCCTCCTCCGTCTTATTACACGGACGACATGGGACTCTCCCAGAGGAGTGTCAGGAAGGACGTTATGTGGGCTGATGGGAAGCAGCTGAAAAAGAGCCATTGGGCTTTTTAATGCAGTTGATGCACGGTGGGGAGAGGAGCTTCCCTGATTGGAAGGTTCGGGTGTGTTCCATCTGGTACTCCTCGAGCCTTTCATCAGTGCTGCGTAAGGGCGAGCAGGGGCACAGCTGGTGGGAAGGTGTCTGTCTGACAGGCCCAAGGCCCGAAGCTCCTCTCCCTCCATCAGGTCAGATGCTCGTAGGGGCCTTGAACCAGCCACCTTCAATTTCAGGCCAAAACGCAGGTGAGCTCCCTGGTGTGGTCAGGAAGTAAGCATGACCTCGGTCAGTCAGGTGGTCTGGGGTCTGCACCGCAGGACTCCCGCTTCCGTGACCACTGCGGGTGCATCAGAACATTTAGTTGAACCAAAGGCTCGTGTCATCATTTGAAATGAGATGGAAGTTTAATCGTGTAAATTCCAGTGCTTCAGCGAGATGTATCTGGGAGATTTCGGGAGGGATGACGCTTCCATCTTCCGCCACATCATCTACACTGTGTGTGGATGGAGAAAAGAAAATGATAAAGAGGCAGCTGGTTTTATGCTTCTGATGGCTTTTTAAAAAATGGACTATACCTGCACAGAACACCTCAACTAGCATTTTCTCATACATTGGGTTTTTTTTTCCCCCAGCCTGTCTTTCTTAATGTTTTAAAGAGCACAGAGCTGGAGTCAGACTGCCTGGATTGGAATTCCAGTGCTACCACCTACTACCTGTGCAATCTTGGACAAGCAACCTAACCGCTTTCTGCCTCACTTTCATGATCCACGTCATGGAGATAATATTAACTGCTTTGTAGGGTTGGTATGAGAATTCAATGAATTGATGCATGTAAAGCATTCAGAAAAGTGCTTGCCACTTAATGTTTGTTGTTGTTACTATTTTCAGAATGATGTTCATTTTTATTATTACTACCTTCCCTTCCCTTGCCTAGCTCTGCACTTAGGAGTTCATTCATTCCCACTGGGAAGGGGTTGTTTCAGAAAGGAAATCAGAGTCTCATTCTGGTCTCTGAATTTCAACGCCAAGCTCTCAGGGAAATAGAGCAGAGTGAAAAATACAAACCAGGCGTCCTGCTTCTGAGACTGGAACTGTGTTCTTGAGATGGGAAAGCAAAAAGAGTGGAGGGAAAGGTAGGCGTAGGAGACAGGAGTAGGTGCCTGGAAGACATCTGGCCCCCTGACTTCACTCCACAACCCTGTGTGGGGCTGAGGGCCAGTGGTGGAAGGAATGAGATGAACCCCAGAAAACCTGTGGAATGCAAGAGCAGAGGAGAAGCATGCTTCCTTTCAGGGTCGGAGAGGCAAGACCCCAAAGATGGAGTGGCCGTGCTGGGTATCCAGGCAGATGAGGCTGGGAGAACCTCACAAAAATTCAGAAAAATTTTGGAAATGCTCTTTCTCTTACATACTGGAGTTTATATAGACCAAGATTCATACCCATTATGTGTAAAAGGAGTTATAGAAGAACTGTTTTAAATTGATGACTGGATGAGCTATTTATTTTCAATTTAAAATGATTTTCTTAAATTACATAGATCTCTGGACCATCCACATGTGGAACTTGGTAATCCTATCTACTGAAACATCATTGTTAAAACTTACTGTGTAACAGTCCAAATATAGATATAAAGAGAAATACAATGGACCCTCCCCCACATAAACACTTCCTATTCTCAACAAATATCAATTCAGAGTAACTTTTGTCAACCCTCCCACATAACTCCAACCCCCAAGCCCCTGCATTGTTTTGAACCAAATACAGACATCTTACTATTTCTTTAGTTCAGTAAGTATCCCTAAAAATAAGGATTCTTTTAAAGAACATAATTATACGTTGTGTTCATTAATATTCATAAATATTTGTAATCGTTCTTTAATATCATAAAAATCCAGTGTCAAATATTCCTAGTTATCTCATCATACATTTGTTTCTACAATGTTTTGTTTGAATCAAGAGCCAAACAATATCCACACATTTCATTTTTATGAGTTTCTCAGATCTTTTTTAAGCTATAGCTTCTCCTCCCTCTTAGGTTTTCCTTACAATTTATTTGTGAAGAAATCAAGTCATTAGTGATATTCTGTAGTATTTCTCACATTCTGGATTTTGTTGATTGTCAACTCTATAATAATAGTTAACATGTTCCTCTACTACTGTATCACCCACCCCCCCAAAACACTGATAAGTTATATCCAGAAGCTTGGTCTGACTTACGTTGATGCTTTGGCAAAAAATACTTCATAGGATCTATTTTGTAATTCCAACAGGAGGCACATAGTGTCCACTTTTCTTTCTTGGTATGTTAGTAGCCATTATAATTACCTAGATCCACAATTTACTAGAGGTTTGCAAAATAGTAATTTTTTAATTCTTCCTTCATTTGTGAGCTTGGATATGTTTATAAAAATAAACCACAGGACATTTGCTTATCCTGAGGTTGTATAGGAAAAGCAGGTGGAATACTTGATTCTTTATTACCAGCTTTCAGAAAAATGAGAACTGATTCTTCAGCATACTTCAAGGTTGCCACTGACTTTTCCCCCCTCTGTTTTTACTGAAGTACTGTTGATTTAGCATATTAGTTTTAGGTGTACAACATAGTGATTCAGTATTTAAACTTATTACAAAATAATGGCTGTATTTCCCTGGGATGTACAATGTTATACATAGTAGTTTGTATCTCTTAATCTCACACTCTTATCTTGCCCTACCCCTTTCCTCTCTATTGGTTTGTTCCTGTATCTGTGAGGCTGTTTCTCACATTATATACATTTATTTTTTTAGACTCCATATATAAGTGATGACATAAGAGTGTTTCTTTCTTTGTCTGACTTACTTCACTAAGCATAATACCCTCTAGGTTCATCAGTGTTGTTGCAAATGACAGTGTTTATTCTTTTTTATGGATGAGTAATATTCCATCATTGTCTGTGTGTGTTTCTGTATCACATCTTCTTTATCCATTCATCTGTTGATGGACACTTAAGGTTGCTTCTATATCTTGGCTATTGTATGTATCTTTTAGAATTAGTGTTTTTGTTTTTTTCTTGATACACACACACACACACCCAGGAGTGGAACTGCTGGATCATATGGTACTTCTGTTTTTAGTTTTTTTCAGGAACCTCTGTACTGTTTTTTATAGCAACTGAATGAATTTACATCCCCACCAATGGTACATGAGGGTTCTCTATTCTCCAGATCCTTGCCAACATCTGTTATTTGTGGTCTTTTTTCATGATAGCCATTCTGACAGGTGTGAGGTGGTATCTCATGGTGGTTTTGATTTGCATTTCTCTAATAATTAGAGGTATTAAGCATCCTTTCATGTGCCTGTTGGCCATCTGTATGTCTTCTTTGAAGCTGTTCAAGTCTTCTGCCCCCTTTTCTATTGGGCTGTGTGTGTGTATGCTTTTTTTGTTTCTGTTTTTGATAGTTATAGGAGTTGTTTATTCATTTTGGATATTAACTTCTTATCAGCCAAATCATTTTGCAAATATTTTCTCTCATTCAGTAGGTTGTCTTTTTGTTTTGTCCATGGTTTCCTTTGCTGTACAAAAGCTTTAGTTTACTTAGGTCCCGCTTGTTTTTTTTTTAAATATGTTATTGCTGGTTTTTCACTATTTCTTTTGTTTTCACTATTCTTCTTCATTATAGGTTA